TTGAATGTGCGTTGTACGAGGACTTAAGTGCATTACATTTGCATAAATTTTTTTTATATTTTTGGTTTTATTTTCTCTTAACTGACAATGCGACCATGCGTTTGGACACTTAGATGGTTAAGCCTTTTAATAATGTACATAAGTGATGTCTCAAGCGACTTGACAACTGTTTAGGTGATTTAAGAAAAAACAAGTGCCACTCTAAAGTATGCATAATGTGAGCATGTATGAAACGGAGTTACAAATATTGATATCCTATATTAAAATATGTGTACGTGTGTATCTAAATAGGATGGAATTTAGAATTAAATATGAGCACATAGAAATCTTATTGGCATTTGGCGGCACAAGATGAACTTGAGAATGCAAATGGCTTAAAAGTTTACTAAACTGGCATTAGGTATATTCAATCTGCTTATTTGGCAAGTAAGAATTGCTAGTTTTTGATTTTAATTGAATTGAGATTTTTTTACGAATTCCGCATTTTTGTATGAAGTAAAATACATATATAAATAAATATTTTTTTTCTATGCATGTAAAGAATAGGAAGCTTGTACGTGTAATTCTTAGGGAAATCGCCGCAGAAATCATGGTTCTATAATTAATTTATAGTTTGCCTAATAGCGAAAACCAAATTTCGAAGAAAATTTTAAAATTGCACTGTTGCGCCCCCTGGTGGAAATTTTAGCAAAAAGATGAGTGCAGAATTGGATTCCTCATACCGAAAAACCCCTTACAGCATGTTTCTAAACTAAATTTAAGAAATTCTTTACGACACTACCGAAAACCTATTTTCGCAGTTTGGCAAACTCCAAATTGATTTTAGACCCATGGTTTCTTCAGTAAATTAGATTAGAATTACGTGTAGAATTCTTCAGTGCTATACGCTTATATTTAGTCCAAAAAATTTCCCATACAAATAGGTGCGCCCTAATCTGTAACCATTAGGCCAGTGCCGGCCACACGAATACTAAAACAACTGCGTGAAAGTGTGTGGCAACTAACTTCGTGCATATACATCGTTAGCGCCGATGTGAAAGCACGAAAACGAAACTGTATAATACTTTTCCGAAATATAATAAATTATATAATCCCGGTAGAAACCAGAAGCAAATTTTTTGCATGAAGAGTAATGCATCCTAATATGCATACATGCATACATATGTTTACACACATACAAGTTATTAAACATCCTAATTTTTACGCATAACGCGAAAATCCAAAAAGTCTAAACAGTTGACACTAATTCTAAAATCCATTGCACAGTCAATTTGCTCTACAGTCGCATGTTGATATTTCCTTTGCAAAACAATAGACTTAAGTCACGAACCTGCAATGGGGTTCGACTTCTATTCTCTCTAAAAACCAACACAAACTCATGCAAATAACTGAGCGAGACAATATTAATTTTCTACACTTTGCATGCCGCATTAAAACCGCATAAATAACGGCAATTTGCTACACCTACTATAAACAGTTTGGTTTCTACATACATTGAATTTTCAAAAACTGCACAAGCGACGCAATCAATGCTTACAATACATTTTTGTGTGCATGTATGTATGTATGCAGCAGCAAAAATTTCAAACAGTTTTATCATACATACACTACAAACAAACAAACAAAAATGGCATGTGTGACAGAATTTTCGAACTGTGAAATCCTTTAGAATGTCATTGCAATAAGGTGCACAAAATCGATTTTACGCACTCTCCGCTCCCCTGCGTGCCAATAACACCGCAACTGTTGATAGTGAACCCTGTTTGCAAATGCGCACCGCACCAAATAATAGCACAAACCAAACGCCTACCAAATGCTGACGCACAGTGTGTCATCGCATAGCCATTGATAATTGATTTTGTGGTCGAATACCGATGGGCAATTGTACTGACACAAAGTATATGCGGCAGCTGATTTTACAATTTTTTAGCAGAAAAAAGATATATATATATACTGCTGTTCTCAACAACTCTTGCCATGCTATTCATTTTTTTTTGTTCAAAAGATATTTCACTCTTTGCTGCAATTGTAATGCAAATATAAATTTTCAAACTCCTCATATAAGAAAATATTGACTAAATGCGCGGCAAAGCCTTTGAATCCTTTTTCCAACCCCACCCTCGTAGAGAACAAATGCCAGTTCACAGGTAAATACAAGCCTATTTACTTAATCATTCGTGCCATAAGTGCTGTTTTATATGTATGTACGTCATATATATATGGTAGTTTGTCTGCGCCGATATTAATGCACAAATGCACCTACCACAATCATAGAAGATTCTTTTTATACACCCCGGCAAAAATCAATATTTGCATTTCGACCTTTCGCAATCGAGCAGAACGAGGCATTTGCTCGATGTTGATGGCTTTGAACGTTCGATAGAGGTTGTGCGTTTAAATAAACACCTTCGTATTTGCTGTAACTGACAGCACAAAAAAAAAAAATGGGAAAATTGATTTTTAATACAACTTCTTATATTTTCTTTTATTTATTTTGGTCCATTGTTGAAATAACGAGAGGCAACAACGGCTTATGTATATATGCGTACGATACCTATGTAAATGTTGAAATGTTTACATAGCGCAACAGGTTCAAAATAAGTTTTCTAAATTCCATAACATCTAATGGAATGTGTACATAAGCCTGTAAATAGTATTGAATTTATTTATTGTATATGTATACAAAGCACAGTAATGAAGACAACTGCAACATTGATGGAAATAAATATATGTATACATAAGAGAGATGGGCTGTTGCTTAAGATCAAGCCGATATTTATTTAAATAACTTTTTGAAAAAGTATTCACTTATTAGTTTTTTCTAAATAGAAGGCTAGAAGATTTGCGTGTTTAAGAGCAATGCAAAAAATTCGAGGCTCATATTAGGTGTAGCGTCCAATAGAGTTAAATGTATGCAATCGCTAGCGTAGAGTGAAAAGTGGCTAAATGTATGCAATATACGGCACGTGCATACATACATACATACATATCGAGGGTTTATAGTTATTCAATATCCTCTATCTGCAATTTTAACAAAAACTACTTTGTGAAGTTAGAACCCATCCGGGACTTATCTGTCAACACTGATTTTATATCTGTCCTTGCAATTCAATAGTAAATTCTTCTCTCAAGCGTTATACAAGGTCAGCATTAATGTCACCGATGACAGTTAAGTCTTAGATGTATTTTTGTATGAGAATCTCATTTTTGTGAAAAAAGCAGATAGACGGTGGATGTACCACAATATCCCCGAATTAAAATCGCCAAATCGAAATGCCCAAACTCAAAATCCCCAAAATTAATATCCCCATTTTCTGTGGGAAATACATTCACATTAGGTTTAAAAGCGCGTGAATTTATTTCACACAGAAAATGAGGAGTCTATCGACATTAAATATTTCTAAAATTGAAAATGAAATAAAAATTAAAGAAAATGTAATACATCCCAATAACTTGGGAATATATTTTGCATGCGCCCTTTTAGTTTCCTTTTACTATAATACTAGGTGCAATGAACTTTTTAGTAAAATATCGCATTTATTTTTTATAGATCCTTCTTTCTCATATTACTACACATTTTTTTTTTTTGTATGTACATAAATATATGTATATAAACATTGTAATAAATTGAAGATATGTATGACGGGTGTTACACGGCTCAAGTCATGGTGAAATTGTACCAGGTGAAGTAATAGGAGCAAGAATAAAGTTTTTTTTATTGATTTTCCACTATCTTATTTGAAAATTCGCCTTTAAGATTTTTCATAACATAACGGATTGACAGAAAATAAATCGAGATAGCTGATTTATTATTTCACCTGTTTATTGCACCATCGGTTCCACTATTGAATTTAGTTCTGCTTGCAAGTGCGAGAGAGGGGCGGAGAAGAAAAGGGAAGTGTACCCATTCGTCGCTACCGTCAAGGCGTTCCAAGTTTTTTGCTTTGCTTTTGACAGTTTCGTCGTTGCCCGTGTAAAGAGCGAATAACTTGAATTCAAAGAAATTGAGCCGTGTTAAAGAAAATAGAAAACATAAGAGATAATGAACAAGAATTGCTTTCAAGTACTTGAATCGTGTAAATCGGGTGTATGTATGTAACTACGAATCAGAACAGAGGTAAGAGTCGGATTGCGCTATTGTTTATATGATCGATAATATTATTTATTCACTATTTTATTATTTTATATTTGGGGATAATATATTTGGGAATCTTTTTTGAAACCAGGGATTTTTTGCTTGTGGATTTTATTTTCGGCATGCATAGTTGATTGGTTTTTGCATACCTGACATGTCATACTACGGGCTTAATGAGCATAGTAACATTTTCTGAATTGTTCTATCGAAGACTCAAATTTCCATCGAAGCTTTCAAAGCTCATAACCAATGGAAAGGACTGCGATTCGAAAATTTGCAGATTTTTTTAATAAAAATTATCTCTGTAAAATACTTACATTTTTTATTAAATATGATAAGTTCCATAAACGTCTCGCTGTCAGTAATGTCCGAGGTCAAAAGCCCAGACGAAATCTAGCGCCAAAATCAACAAATGAAATATTAGCAATGAACAGCTAATGTCAAATCGAAACAAAACGTCGGATTGTTCGAATTGAAAACTTCAAGAAAGGACTGACTCCATTTCCTTTTAATTTTATAAATACAAAATATTGCCCTTTATTTAATACCGTCTTCGTAGTCCCGTCGTATTTCTAGCTTCTTCCGTTCCCTTGCGGAAGATGCTCAAATGTTCAGTGTTCATTAATAGTAGCAGTGATGGCCAACCAGTGACTAGTGACCCAAAATCCTTTTATTCACAATGGGAAAAGTATTTATATGTATGTATATCAGTTTAGGGGGATTGCTTGCAAAAAATATATGTTTATATAAGTAAATTGGGCATATATATGTATATATGACTTTGTTTCTAAAATTAAATATACCTATGAGGACAGGATGATTTCTTGAAATCAGTCGCCAATAATGATTTTCTATTTGATTTCAGCGATGTAAAGAGAAACTCAACATTCTCGCGGTTTCTGTGATGAATCAATGGCCCGGTGTACGGTTACGTGTCACCGAAAGTTGGGACGAGGACAATGCTCATCATACCGACTCGTTGCATTATGAGGGTCGTGCTGTCGATATAACAACTTCCGATCGTGATCGCACCAAATATGGTATGTTGGCGCGTCTCGCTGTAGAAGCAGGTTTCGATTGGGTCTACTATGAAAGTCGAGCGCATATACACTGTTCGGTGAAATCAGGTAAGCATCAAATTTGTGTTACAGAAAAATTAAATATTATGTATATACATTAGGGTGCATCACTCTCTCTAAGCAAAACAAAATCGGTGCTGTTTTTTCATAGGAATTAGAAAATTTATTATATTCTAACACCCAAATTCACAAAAATTATTTTGTGCCTTCCCTATCTATACAAATTGTACAGAGAGCTTTTGAAAGCTTTGGCACGCTTGCCTATGAAGTGGACAACTGTGCTGTAAATGCTTTTTAAATCGAAAATGTTTAAAATAATGTCAGTTTATAAAGCTTTAACGTAATTTTTAACTATTTTGTTAAGGCCACAAGATATCCGACAAAATATTTCACAAAGATTTACTTGAGCTGAATCAATTTGAATATACATAGTTCCAAAAATTGAGCTTTTTATAAGTAGAAAACTTTAAGTTTAAAAGTCCGCATTTATGTATTTGTCATTGTACCAAAAAATTTTTTACGATACAAACACGCATAACAAATTTGTGAAGTAGTTTCTTATGGCGTTTTCGTTTCTACTAAAAAATATCGCATTTTGAAGGCGTGTTCGATTCTCAAATCAGAGAAAAGGTTAGAAAATTTTGTGTTTGTTTCTTAAAATGTCACACTCTTGTAAGGCGAAAAATGTATATTCACTGCTCTTTGAAGCTTTGTCAGGGGAGATGGTTGCCCTGAAAATCAGATGGTTGCGCAAAACGACAAAATTATGAAATGCTAAATAGACAAGGATAAGAAGGCAAAAACACAAAATTTTGCAAATGAAAAATTATTTTCCTTAAGAAAAAATTATAATGCACTGGTTTTTCTTTTAAAAACCACGTCATTTTTGGTATATAGGTTGTTCACCATTTTTACTTAGGATCGAACATAGAATTCGAGTATGCCATACACTTTTTTCGAAATTAAATTTCTCCGCCCTAATGCTATGATGAGCAAAAGAAGGCTGAAAGGTAGAGATCTGAAAAGTTTGGAGTGCAAATTGTAATGTTTTAAAAAGTGAATCAAATATGTATGGGGCATAGGTTTCTGCTGTTTTTACAATTTCTCTTCTATCTAAACTCACTCACGCCCTAGCACTCCGCTTTCGACATAAATTCCTTCCCATAATTGCATTTAGAAACGTACATATATGTGTATTAGGCCGGGTCGATTTGTGGGGAGGCAAAAAAATCGCCCATTGCTCTGTGAAAATCATATTCTAGGGATCAAAATAAGAAACTTTGCCGAAGGAACCATACCTCTAAAACGAATTCTGATGTCCCCCAATTTGGGTCGAACTTTTGGGTAGGGGCAAATTTTGAAAAATCCCACTTTGACCCATTTAGAGTGCTCCAATCGAGTCCAAATGTATGACCGACCCCCACTAACTTTGGAGGCCCGACCCACCGATGCCAGTGGCACACCCCCTGGAATCCCCCTGGGGGTTCACCATACAAACATTTCAAAAAATCGCCGGTTTTGCACTTTACATGAAAAAATCAGCGAAATGCCTATGTTTTTTTCTTTTTGGAGTTTATTTTAGTCAGAACATATGTAAATGAAAAAATGAATTTAACTTAGTAATAGAAAAGAAATTAAAAAAATTATTAGAAATTAGCGCTTTTACAACCCTTTTAAAACCAAGGCATCACTGTGATGCATTTGCATGTCGTAAACATAGTTGTGTGGGTTTTTTATTCAACCGTTTTAAAAAATGAAGGTATCACTGTGACACAATTGCAAATCGGAAAATTGCTTGTGTGCGTTTTTTAACACACAGCTGCATGTCGTAAACTTACTTGTGTAGTTTTTTTATAGCACCTACTTAAGAAATGAAGGTTGTTTTTACAACCCTTTTTGTGGGTATTTTAAGGCACCTTCTTAAGAAATGCGCGTTTTTTGCAACCATTTTAACAATTAAGGTATCACTGGAATGCACCGCAACCCTTTTAAACAATGAAGGTATCACTGTGACACAATTGCAGATCGTAAAATTGCTTGTGTTGTTTTTTTTAAGCCACCACAAGACACAGCAGGTAGAATTGAAATTACCATTTCATTCTTATTACCTCGTCTCGTAGACCATATATAACGCAACAGTTTTTGTGAATGCATTAAGTCGTTGTGAAGAACTCAAAGTGTGAAGTGCTAATTTCAGATAAAAAAATATTTCAAAAAAAATAATAAGTGAAGTGACCATTCCAAATCAAAAAGTTTACAATGAATCCACCATCCTCTACACCGCAAGATGAAGCAACTACATCAACAACTATCGAAAACCCAATGAGTCATATACCCAAGCATGATGTTATTGTTTTTGGTGTGTCTACTGATTTAACTGATCTTAATTTACCAACCCATCTGAATATCTTGAGATATTATTTTTAATTAAGCGAACGTGCTAAAACAGAACAAAAAAAGTTTTCCCATAAATCATTCACTATTCAAGTACAAGATAAGTTGATTGGAATTTGGGAAAAACTTGGTATGGAAATAATGCTGAAAAAAATTGTATTTAATAAATTGAATAAATTGCTTGACAAGTATGAAGAGCAAATCAAGAGAAGAAACAACACCCAACAATTTACAGAGTATGTAAAATCTCTGGAAACAATTTTTTACATTGGAACAAGAAGTGCTTCGCAAACGGTTAGATGATACCAATATGTTAGCGTTTTCATTCGATGGCAGAAAAGATGATACTTTAACGATAGATAAAATTGATGAGAAGAATCATACTAGGATGGTAAAAGAACCTCATCTTGTTATTTTGAGAGAACCCAATTCTGAATTGATTGGTTACGTAAGACTGGAACATGAAACCGCTGAATACAAAACAACCAAATTAAATGGTTTTTTCAACGATAAAAATATATCACTGGATGCATTAATTGGAATATGCACTGACGGTGAGCCAACAAACACTGGCCCACACGGTGGAATTATACGACGATTCGAATTGCTGTTAAAAAGACCATTGCATTGGTTCGTTTGCCTTCTACACTTCAACGAACTTCCGTTTCGGCATTTGTTTGAAGCTTTGGATAAATCAACCAGCACTGGACCAAGATCGGCAACCGGAAAACTGAGCCGTCAAATCGAAACTTGTGAAACTCTTCCGGTAAGTTATTGCTATCACTCATTTATTATAATTGTCAACCATTTTTAATTATTTTATTATTATATATTTTCAGGTGGTGGACGGCTTCCAGAAAATTGAGTTGCAAAATATGCCCCCTGCTCCAGAAAAAATTTAATTTTCCACCGATTCGAAGTACTTATACGACATGGCCCACGCAATTTCTAGCGGCGTGGTTACGGTGGATCTGGCTAACATCAAACCAGGGAAAATTGTACATTCTCGGTGGCTCACCAAGGCCGCTAGATTATTGCGATTATATGTGACAACGGAAAATCCAGATGCAAATTTAAGAATTCTGGTTGAATTTATAATTAAATGTTATGTGCCAATGTACTTCAATATCAAGTATTACAGCTCTGTCGTGTACGGCAGTGCATTATTTTTCAAGTTCATTGGTTGGTCACGATTTCTAGAACCTCGTTTACGCAAAATTGTCAATCAAGTAATTAAAGATAATTCATATTATGCGCATTCGGAAAATATCTTGTTATCAATGTTGTTTGATGATAGCAAAAAAAAGCGCGACTGTGCCATCAAGAAAATTCTGCGCTATCGAACCGAGGTTGACGAGCCAATGGAACTTAGAGTTTATAAAAAACCAGATATAAACTTTAATTGCACAAGTTATACGGAAATGATCAATTTGAATGATATAAATATCGTATTTGAACCACTATTCACGCGAAGCATTCCGTACGATACATTGAAAGAATATTTAAATCAAGATGATCCACCGTTTAATGATCCAAAAATTCCATCACACATACAAGGAACGGAACGACATGTTCAATTGCTAACTAGCGTTTCCAAACGGGTTATACCGGAAAATGTAGAGGCTGTTATGGCGACGACATTAGAGAGCCGTGCGAAATTGCCCAGACTTGAAAGTAAAAAAGACTTCAAACAATAATTTTTTTTAGTTTCTTTTCTATAACTCACTTAAATTAATTTTTTCATTTACATATGTTCTGACTAAATAAATTTCTTAAGAGAAAAAATAGATATTATTATAAATAAATAATAAATATTATTATAAATAAATAAATAAAAATAAAGAAAAAACATAGCCATTTAGCTGATTTTTTCATGTAAAGGCCAAAAATGGTGATTTTTTGAAATGATTGTATGGGGAACCCCCCAGGGGAGTTCCAGGGGGTGTGCCACTGGCATGGGTGGATCGGCCGCCCAAAGTTAGTGGGGGTCGGTCATACATTTGGACTCGATTGGAGCACTCTAAATGGGTCAAAGTGGGATTTTTCAAAATTTGCCCCTACCCAAAAGTTCGACCCAAATTGGGGGGACATCAGAATTCGTTTTAGAGGTATGGTTCCTTCGGCAAAGTGTCTTATTTTGATCCCTAGAATACGATTTTCACAGAGCAATGAGCGATTTTTAAATCGACCCGCCCTAATGTGTATGTATGTATGTATGTATGTATATCCAAAACTCTAGTGGCCCACAAAAAAAAAAAAACAATACGAACACTAACAAAAAGCAGGACAACAGAGAATAAATAATTTACCTTTAAATGACTAAAATGTATACAAAAGCGAAAAGCTGAAAATCGGAACGAGATGTGGTAAGTACTACCATGTAGTAGGTGCGTATGCATCCTACTGCTTTGACATGTTTAGGGTTGCGCCTGTCAAATTAAACGAATTGATGATGCGACCTCCGCTGAGTTTCACATGAACGTGTAACGTAACAGCGACGACAATAAGAGCGCGGCTAAGAAGGAGCAAGAAGCCAAAAAGTACCAGTATAAGATAACATGTATAGGTATATGTATGTGTATATGTATGTATGTATGTATGTGCATACAAAAGAGTAGCAGCAGTAATGAGAAATTCGACTGTGCGACATCAGC